AGCGCCCATCGCGCTAATCTTCGCGTGGGATTTCTCATATTGTGGAGCCATTTCAGGCAACTATGATCGGTGATGACCCTGAAGTGATGCCCTTCAATGTACGGCCGGAACTTTCCAATGGCCCGTACCACTGCCAAGCACTCTTTCTCGGAGACCGTATAATTTCTCTCAGCACTGTTGAGTGATCGGCTGGCGTATTCTATTACACGCTCCTCTCCATCGACATCCTGTGCGAGAACTGCCCCGATTCCACTGTCACTGGCATCAGTTTGCAGTACAAACTGACCGTTCGGATCGGGTGATTGCAGTATTGGGGCGGAAGTCATCGCCTCCTGCAATCTCGTGAAAGCTCGCTCTTGCTCCTCTTCCCAAGAGAAACGTATATTCTTCTTTGTCAGGCGGTTTATAGGTTCAGCGATCATGACAAAGTCGGGTATAAAACGTCTATACCACGAGGTCATTCCCATGAATCGCTTCACCTGTTTGACAGTCCGGGGTGTTGGATATTCTAATATCGGGCGTATTTTCTCGGGATCTGGTCTTACTCCGTCCTGGTTCACAAGAACTCCCAAGTACCTGACTTCCGTCTTACAGAAGTGACTTTTGGCTTTGTTGATGGTTAGGCCCGCACCTAGAATTCTTTTTAATACCATTTCTAGGTGCCGCTTATGCTCCTCAAAGGACGACGAAACCACAATTACGTCGTCAAGGTAAGCAAAAGCGAATGGATCCATATCCGGGCCTATCACCCTGTCCTTCAACCTCTGGAAGGTCGCTCCTGCGTATGACAGTCCGAAGGGCATTCTCTTAAATTGAAAGTGCCCTAATTCAGGAACTGTAAATGCTGATATTGGACGCGATTCTTCCTTTAAGGGAATTTGATGGTACGCACTGCTCAAGTCCAAAGTAGATATGAATTTTGCATCCCTTATCCGTCTTAGGATGTCGTTCATATATGGTAAAGGATAGGCATCAGGTTTGGTAATTGCATTTACCTTTTGTTAATTCACGCAAAACCTATATTTTCCATCCGCCTTCTTTACCATTACTATTGGGCTTGACCATCCGCTGGTCGCTGGTTCGATAACATCTTTTTCCAGCATATCTTTGACCAGCGTGTGCATTTCCTCTCGCACTCTATCTGAGACTGGGTAGTACTTCTGTTTGATGGGTCGAGCATTTCCAACATCTATTTCATGCTCAACCCCCACGGCACAACCTAAAGCCTGACCTCCGTCAGGAATCAATCTTCTGAACGCGCGAAAATCAGAATTGCGAACGGTTCGATTAATTGAATCGACTACCGTTGCAATATAGTGAGAATAACAGTAGCACCAATATAATTGCCAAAAGTTGTAATCTGTAACTAATTCCTGATTTTTTTTATCAAATAACTTAAAAACTAAAAAAGTAAGTTTAGTTAGTTCTGTGTGCAAGTAAACTAGCAATCGAATAATGACTAAGCTAAATAATTCTATGGTTTCAATTATGCCAACTAAATAGCAAATAAATTAATACAGTAATAATACAATTTCTTAATATCATGGTTTATTGAGTAGAGAGATTAATACTTTTATTCACTTATGTATGTTCTTATAATACCAGATCAAATGTATCTTATCTTCTTGGAATGATACACTTGAGTGCACATAAATTTTTACTTTTGATAATTTCTGGTGTAATTATTACTTTTTATTTCTATTTTTTGAGATATGGTATATTTATTGTAGTAAAGGAATAGTTTTAGTATGTATGACTTATTGATGTTTTTTAACGGCAAGTAGGCTATGAAAAAATATATTCAATAGAAATAGATCTTAAAAGTGGTATAATAATTCAGATTACAATTTAATAGAATAAAAATAATTACTAAAAGATGATTATTTTGTAATAAAATAAGGTACTTGATCACTTGGCACTTTTAATAAGAACAAATTTTTCTACATCGGGATCGGATTCACTCGTATTCTATAGGATATATAGATTGGTACATTTCTATCAAAGTTTATGGCAGCTATGATAAATATATTTTACACAATTGTATTTTTTTGTTTCAGGTTTACTATTTGCACAGATTAACAATTTAAATTTATCAAAATAATAAATTAATAAAAACCTACATTGACAAACTACTGCGTGAATGTAATTGGTATTGACTGTAAATATACTTTTCTATTGTTCATTTACACGAGGTCTGTCCGGAAAGTATCGGGCCTACGTTTATATCTTCGCACCATAGTGTTCGAGCGACCTCTCCCGGACAGAAACGTCAACAGTAAAGCCTCACGAATCTATTGGTTACTTACTGACACCTGTCGGACGTATAGTTCATGCGCAGCGTGTCTTTGCTTACAATGCCTTTTTCGCGTTCGTCGGATTTTGATATTCTCAAAAATGACTGAAAAACAAGATCAACGAATTTGCATCAAATTTTGCTTTCAACTCGGAAAAACGAGTTCGGAAACTATTGAAATGATGCAAAAGGCCTTCGGAAGCGAATATATGAGAAAAACACGAATAAAATAGCGATATAAACGGTTCAAGGATGGTCGCACTTCTGTCGATAGTGAATCTCGTTCCGGCCGACCTTCGACGACAAAAACCGCAGATAATATTGAGCGGGTGCGACTTGCAATCGAACAAGATCGTCGTATAACTGTGCGAGAGCTAGAAAAAGACCTTGGGATACCAAAAACTATCATGTCAGAAAATTTAACCGAAAATTTAGGAATGAAACGCGTGTGTGCGAAATTCATCCCAAAATTGCTCACAGCAGAGCAGAAGAACATTCACTTAGAAATCGCTCTGAACAATCTGGAAATGGTCAATAATGATGATAGTGTGCTTAGAAAAGTTATTACAGGTGATGAATCATGGGTTTATGGTTATGATCCTGAAACAAAACAACAATCTTCACAGTGGAAGCATTCTGAATCGCCAAGACGAAAAAAAGGACGTCAAAGGCGGAGCAATGTTAAGTCAATGTTGATTGTTTTTTCCGATTGAGAAGGTGTTGTACATCACGAATATGAACCAACAGGTCAGACAATCAGTAAAGAATACTACGTTCAAATTTTAAAACGTTTGCGTGATGCAATAAGAAGAAAACGGCCGTACTTTCGGGAAAGTGGTGACTGGCTTCTCCATCACGGTAATGTGTCAGCGCATTCAACCAAACTTGTGCAGCAGTTTTTGAGCAAACACAATATCGCATTGCTTCGAAAACCTCTATACAGTCCCGACATAGCCCCTTATGACTTTTAACTGTTTCCAAAACTAAAAAAACTACTCAAAGAACACCGATTCGATGACAAAACAACGGTTGAAAACAATGCGACGAGTGTACTTAAAGCTATCTCTAAAAGTGAGTTCCAGGACTGTTTTGAAAAGTGGAAACATCGATGGAACCATGTTATTCAATCAAGTGGGGATTACTTTGAAGGATGCCACCCACAAGATGATAAAGAATAACGCTAGCAGGAAAATATAAAGGTAGGCCCGATACTTTCCGGACAGTCCTCGTATACATATATATTTGTCTATATTTATTAGTAAACCAAACCAAATTAAACCAAATCAAACCAGACCAAAAAGAAAATTCGAAATCAAAAACCAAAACAAATAAAGCCAAAAGAAAATCGAAAACCAAATTACAAACAAAGCCAAACCAATATTAAGTAACAATTTATAGGAAGTCATTAACTTTTAAAATTCGAATTTAAACGATTTTGTAAACAATTTTCTATTGTTGTTTAATAAATTAATTGAAAAATGAAAACTGTTCAAACTCACAAATCTGAAGTATTAAATTAATATATTCTACAGAAACATACAAAGACTTGACATATTAATAGAATTGTAATTTTCACAACTTTTCTTCATAGAAACTTCTATTACTTTCATTTTTATTAATCATTTCCCGGCTAATTTTAGAATTATGGGTCGATGAAAACTTACGAATGTAGAAGTCGAGGTTTCACAGCAAAACAAACGAGCGAGGGAAAGAGAAAATCAACGTCAAAGGCAGCAAATAGCTCGACAAGGTATAACTGATTATTATCGTATTTTAGGAAATCTGTAACGGGGTTCTGACTACCCCGTGAAGGATGATGCTAGGTAGCTACTCGACTTGCGTACTCGTTATGGGGGTCTCGCAGGACTCAGCCCAGTGGCTCAGCTATGCCCCTTGAAGGCATCTTTGCCTTCGGCCCGCGGAGAGCGTCGTAGGTCAGGTAGCAGCGGGCGGTGCGAACCAGCGCGCGCATAGCACGGGAGAGGGAAATGCCGAGAGGAAAGACACAGTGGTTAGCAGAAAGAGTGTTTACTAAAACGAAGGTAACAATGGAAGCATACAAGTAGCATTCGTAGTGAGAGAGGCAAGTAAGAAGCAAGCGAGAGAGAGAGTCTTATGATCGAGCGGGCACTTACATGACGGTTTCGCAGTAGTCTCGGATTTACTCCTGACACGCGCAGGTGTTCGGCCACGAGGCAGCTCTCTCAGGCTGATCGGCGATTATCTGCACGCACGCACGCACGCAGAATGCTCTTGATGTCTTAGTCTTTCACCCACTCGCACGCACTCTGCTCTCTCGGTCCTTATCGGCGAAAATACTAGCTGCGTAGCACAAGGTACTTATTCGTCGCGCGGCGATAGCCGGGCTTGCTTTCGTCGCGAAGGCGGGCAGCGGATTGTCCCTCGCACGCGAAAGGCGTCCCCCTCTCTCCCGCTGGCTATTCGGCAGCGGCGCGTCTCAGCCAATTAGGAAAACGTGCGCGACACTCAAGCGTCCACGCACTCACGCATACACGCGGATCTCTCTCTCTGCTCGGTGCTCTCTTACTTACCTCGTGCCGCATCCACAGCTGCGGCCAGACAGGAAGATTACATAAGGAAAATACATAAGTTGTTAATAAATTATGATTGACTTAAGGGGAGAGAGAGACATAACGAGACTCAGCTCGTTATAAATCTTATAGTTGAAAAAGATTATTTATGATTGATGAATATTTTATGTAAACATTGTCAAGCCAAACATTTTAAAAATGAAAAAGTTTCAAATAAAGAGTCATCATTTAATGATTGTTGCGACCATGGAACAGTAAAATTGGATCCCTTTCCAGATTTCCCACTTGAACTTCTGACTTTATTCAATGGAGAGTACGATAAATCATCCAGTTTTTTTGACGACATACGTAATTACAACAGTTCTTTGTCATTTGCTTCGTTTAATGTTAATTTAGTTCATTTTCAAATGCGTCGATCAGCTCCATACTGTTTTATAATCCAAGAGCAAATCTATTATCAAATAAATACGGCTTTATACGCTAGCGGTGATAAAAATCCTTCGTACGGACAACTTTTCATTATCGATCAAAACGAAGCTATAGATTATCGAATGCAACAAAATCCCCTTATAGATTATGAATTAATGTCGATTTTAGATAACATTATTCGTAATCATAATAGTTATGCTAAGTCTTATGAAATGATGAAAGATGAAATTAGAATCCAACAGCTTTTAAAAGAAATGAAAAATGATTCTTCTCCTACAGAACTTCAATTACTGTTTTCGTTAAAACTTGGCCAAGACAGTCGTAGGTACAATTTTCAACGAGTCAATGAAGTTGCTGCAATATTTTCAACCACTGTTGATGGAGAAATACCTGAATCATACATTACTATAAGAAATAAAAATACACAAAATTTAGAAATTGTTAATTCTTTGGATCCTAATGTAGAACCATGGATTTACCCATTGTTTTACTCATATGGCACACGTGGTTGGCATACAACCATGTATCATTCAAATTCCAATCGTAAAATTACACTTCTAGATTATACTAAATATAAAATATCTGTTAGAGAAAGTGAGTTCAATCCAATTATACGAGACCGAAGACTATTCCAACAATGGATCGTAGATAGCTATGTCAAAATCGAAAGAGATAGAATTCAGTATTGCAAAAGTCATAAAAAAGAATTAAGAGTTGATACGTACAAAGGATTACATGATCACATGAGCAATTCTACAAATGATATTAATGGCACTATAGGCAAGACTGTAATTCTTCCTTCATCGTTTACTGGCTCACCTTGGTATATGCAACAATGTTATCAAGATGCTATGGCTATTTTTAATGAAACAGGACAACCAGATATTTTCCTAACAATGACATGTAATCCAAATTGGCCGGAAATAACAGAAAATTTGTTACCAAGTCAACAAGCTGCTGACAGACCAGATTTAGTAGCCAAAGTTTTCGATTTAAAAAAAGATCATTTACTTGATATCGTTGTAAAGAACGGTTTTTTTTGGAAGAGTTGCATCTTACGTGTACGTCATTGAATTCCAGAAAAGGGGATTACCGCATATGCATTTATTGATTACATTAGAACAAGGTTACAAAATTACTACTGCTGACATAGTTGATGAATTCATATTAGCTGAAATACCTGAAAATCTAAGCGATTCACGTTTATATAACATTGTTATGAAAAATATGATTCATGGACCTTGTGGTGATTGGTGCCTGAGGGATGGTAAATGTTCAAAAAACTTTCCAAAAGATTTTAATCAATATGCTACACTGGAATCGTAGAACAGATACTAGCATTATTCACGATTGCCGTAATGGGCATACAGTAGATAACAGATGGGTGGTTCCATATTGCGTCAAATTATTATTAATTTTCGACTGCCATATAAACGTTGAAATTGTTTCCAGTATTAAAGCTGTTAAATATTTGTATAAATATATTTATAAAGGGCACGATGCTGCTACAGTTGTGATTGGATAAGCAGAAAATGGTAGCACTATTGAACACGATGAATGTCAGAATTTCATTGAAACACGTTATGTTAGTCCTGTGGAGGCATGTTACAGAATTTTCAGTAAAACTATGCAAGATAAAAGTCATACTGCTACAAGATTACCAGTGCATCCACTTAATGAACAAGCAAAAATAATTACGCAATAAGAAGATGAAGTTTCATTATTAGCTACTTTGAATAACTCAAGTATTATGCTACTTGATTACTTTAAATTGAATTCAACTAACGAAATAGCAAAGCAATATTATTATCATGAAATCCCCAAACTCTTTACTTATAAAAAAACAAAATTTAATGGTCAAGTTGTTTCTTCATGGGCGACAAGAAAAAATCATTTCAATTGCATAGGTCGAATGTATTCCATAAGTCCAACGCAAATTGAACTTTTTCATTTAAGATTATTATTACTGCATGTTAAAGTTTTAATGATTTGAAAACAGTAGACAATGTTTTACATTCTTCTTTCACAACAGTCTGTTTAGCGTTAGGAATTATTGAAGATGACGATGAATGGGTAAAAGCTATGGCTGAAGCAGTGAGTTGGATGATGCCTAAGCGCTTAAGGCATTTATTTGTTGTTATCCTGATACATTGTCAACCTATTTTTCCTGAAAAATTATGTTAATTAAATCATCCACAAGTCTTAATGTTGAGTTCAAAGATTCATCAAAGACGACAGGTGACTGAGTAAAATAAAATTAGGCAAAATATTTTCCATCAGGAACTACTCTTAACGCAAGGCTTTTTAGGAACTTTCTGCTTTGACGTGTTACAACTTTCGCTTTCCGATGACGATTGATGACTGGAGTTCGCCGTGTTAACGTTTTCAATTTCAGTTGATGACTAATGGTGGATTTGCATTTTTCAGTGCTTATATATCCCCTCTGTTTAATGTTAGACTAAACAAAACATACTCCTAAGCAGGATTGTGAAAGTAGCGCCCTTAATTATAAGGGAAATTGTTGAAATAATTTTGACAACGGTATTAGTTGCTCTAATTATCCCTGATATCAGTGATAATTTCCCATTTTCGATTCGTCAATGGGAAATGCGTGAAAATCACGACTTTCCTCGGTACATGAACAGGCTCGTTTACATTAATAATTATTGCTGAATTTTTATGTTTGCTAGCTCAAAATTAAGATTTTAATTTCCCTCGACATCCCCTCAAATCAAATTTTCTATTCGTATTTGAAATAATTTTCAAATTAAATGGGAAATTATCACTGATATCAGGGATAATTAGAGTAACTAATACCGTTGTCAAAATTTAACAAATATTTTAACAATTTCCCTTACAATAGAGGGGGCTACCTTCACAGTCCTTGCCCAAGTAACGGCAAAACAAAACACTAGAATAGTCAATACAGAGAATTGATACTATGTTAAAACCTATTAATAGTATTAGTAAATAAAATGGCGCAATAAATGTTTGGAAACTCCCTATCTGGAACGTAAACGGGCTTATGCATAGACACTACAAATTAAGAACATTTTTGATCAACGAAAATATCGATATCACATTGATATCAGAAACAAACTTTACAAGAAAGAACTATCTCAACATATCAAACTACACTGTACACGAAACAAATCATTCACACATAAAGCACACGGAGGCACTATAATTATAATAAAATCAAAAATAAGCTACTACGTTTTCACACAAACTAGTGAAACCTATTTATAAACAACTAGTGTAATTATAAATAAGAATGAAGGCCCGATAACAGCATCATTTATTTACTGTTCACCGAACAAAACAATAATGAAAGAAGAATAGATAGACTTTTTCCAAATTTTAGAAAATCACTTTATAGCAGAAAACGATTCTAATACGAAACATCCTTGGTGAGATTCAAGATCATCAACTACAACCTTCAGAGGCAGAGTACTCTATGAAATTTTACAAAAAAATAACTACACTTTAATCTCCTCTGGAGAATCAATATACTGGACAATAAATTTAAATAAGCTACCAGAGATTTGATAGACTTTGCAATCGTAAAAGTTTTGCAATCAAAAAGTATTTTGAAGTATTATCATGCCTAGACTTAATATCAGATCATTCTCAAGTTTTCTGCACTTCCAAGTACTCGAAATTAAAAATAAATATACGAAAGTGTCTGGAAAAAATATTTTCTTTTCATTGAGCATAGCATAAAATGTAACGTTCCTCTCAAATCGGCTATTAATATAGAAAGCAGTATTAAAACTCTTTACGTACTCCTAACTGAAGCCCTTAATAAATATTCTACTATTATCAACTGTAAAAATACACGATAAATCACTTCCGATAACATAGTTTAAAAAATTAAAGAAAACAGATAACTGAAAAAAAATATCAGTCAACCAGATCAAGTAATGATAAATGTAAATTAAACAAAGCAGCCAAAAAAATGAAAAAAATGTACGAAGAAAAAACAGTCTAATAAAAGTAATAGACTACTCGCTATAGAAAGCCACCAAACGATTGAAAAGATCAACGAAGTTCTTACCACCTATAAAAAAAGCTCGCAATAGATGGAGCAGATCTGATAAGCAAAGAAACAGTAACTTTTGCTGATTAACTATGCACAGTATTGAAACCTCACGTAAGAATGATCACTGAATTAGAAGAAGAAACCTTACTATAAGTGTTAGACGCCACTATTCGAAAAGAGAGCACAGCGATAAAATCAATTAAAATAAAGGAAGTGTTTCAAATAATTAATAACATAAATGTTATGTGACGGACCATTTTCTTTTTTTATTTTGCTCATGTTTTGCCTACATACGGGAGAGTTCGCCTGCGAGAGTTTCACTTGCGTCGTGCCAAACCCAAGAGCATAGCGATAAGATGCTATGGTCAGCAAGCACGTGTGTGATCGCCTCGGTGAGAACAAGTGGGAAAGACCGAGCGCGCTGCTATAGCATGCTACGGCAGCATGCTACGATAGCACGCTGTAATCAACATGTTTACTTAGGGCTAAGGTAGCGATTAAAAACGCATGAATCAGTGAATGAGTGAGAAAGCGCGAAGGAAAAAGAGATGGAAATAAAGCAAGCGAGGGAATAGCGAGGACCAGGAGAGGTAGTCAGAAGTGAGCCCCCACTTAGAAAGGCTGCATTGATTTTCTCTGACATTTATTTTCTTAATAGTCACACACACACACACACAGATACACACACACATACACACACATACCCAGTATTGAATTTATTAAATTATAATAAATAGGAATTATTACATTGGATATTAACCCATTAAAGCCCACGCTAAGACTGGTTGAGATAGCGACAAACAAACTGTGCTATCTTTTGCATGAGTGAAAAATAAAATATACGTATTTTTTTTTATGTTATTTTCAATTGTTTATAACAAATTATTTAAACAAATTACAAAAAAATTCATAATTATCAAAATCTAAATGCGGGAATCGATTCTGGAGGTGAAATCAAGACGAAAACCTATATAACACTTTTTTGTCAGAATTCAATTTGTTAGTGTAACGTAGGAATAAACAATTGCATGTTGGGGAGAAAAAGTGACCATGTCAAGTCCCAAGCAAAATCTATCTGGAATAGCAAAAAATAAACTGTGCTATCCTTTGCATAAGTAAAAAATAAAATATATATATTTTTTCTTATGTCATTTGCAATTGTTTATAACAAACTATTTAAACAAATTATAAAAAAATTTATAATTTTCAAAATCTGAATGCGGAAATCGATTCTGGGGGTAAAGTTTAGACGAAAACCTATATAACACTTTTCTGTCAGAGGCCAATTAGTTATTGTAATGAAGGAAGAAACATTCGGCCTCCTGAGAGTGTTTCAAAAAATCGTATAAAATGAAGCTAATTATTGTATTTATCCATCAATATTGGCATGAATTATTGTAAATATAATCGGTGGGATTGAATTATTGTTCATTGCCATGTCCTTCTTTATGACTTTTGCAAACAGGCATAGAACATTTCTCACAATACCATTCCGTTCTTGTCCGACATGTTGAAATTCCACATTTCCTAAGACTCCCATGTTTCATCACGTGTTCTTGGGATGAAGTTTCACTCTGTTTCTGTCGTTTGGGGGGACGTTTGGAAGACAACTTGTCAATATAATATTCACAAACTTCTTGAACAATATCTTTGGAACCTTTTCTTTCGTCTGGATGTAACTTATTGTAAATCACTGTAGCGTTTGCTAAGGATGCTTGGATGAGCCGTAATACAAGGCACCATGTCCATTTCTTACTTCGAATTGTAGGCATCAAAGCATTACAGTGTTGATCATGTAGATCGACGCCACCCATGTGTTCATTATACATAGAGAAACAATGAGGAAAAAGAATAGATTTTTTCGATGATTCCTGCCATCTCTGCATTTCAACTTTTGGTTCATTTCCATATTTCGAAGAGAGAATCGATACTGGCTTTGAGTCCATAACTGTAATATAATTCAATTTTGAATTCACTTCATGCATTGAAATAGTGTATCCTCTTTTAGCTTTTTTTGGCATTTCGACTTTCACTTTCACACGATTATGCCGAACAGTTCCTGTCGCCGATAAATCATTTTTTTTCAAATGAATCATAAGATCTGGGTTTGTGAAAAAGTTGTCAAAATAAATATGATACTTTTTCAGTTCTTCTCTCTGTGATTTTTCTAATAAATTCGAAAGTAACTTTATCACCACTCTAGACCCTAAACCAACGGCAACTAAAGGATTTCGTTCATCGATTCCTGATTTACCAGTGTAAATATCAAGATCATATATATACC